GTCCACATAGTAAATAGAAATAAATGATTTCTCTGTGTATTCATTCTGTCTTCAATATATCATTCTGCTGATATTTTCACCTCCCTCAAGTCTCAAAATAATATATATTTAGCAAAAATGAGAAATTCACTCATTTCCATTCAAAACTCTCAATATGAAAGGCGACAGAAAACGAAAAAGTTCACATTTTTTACCTGGTTATGTAAAGAAAGTTAGTGAGGTGACACAAACTGACTACGACTATGATCTTCCATCTACCTCTGCAGTGTATGAAGACCAAGAATTGAGCTATGTGAATATTGAACTAGACTCTCCAGGTAGTCACAGGGTTTTACGACCAAGGCCTGAAAAAAAAGAAAGCAGTTTTGATCAAAATGAAATCTCAGGCAACAGGATAATCAATGTGGAAAAAATGGTAGAAATGTGGAACATAGCCATTCAGACTCATGCAGACGAAGAGGCCGAGGTGTGTGCAGTACCACAATTTAAGATCAACACAGAAGAAAAATGGGGAATCGGATGGAAATATTCACTGAAATGCCTCAATTGTGGATACATCTCTCCTGTGGTAAAATTATACAAGGAAATCACGACTGGCAAAAGAGGTAGGAAAGCGGCTGCAGTAAACATCAACTTACAAGCTGGATTGCTAGACATGCCTTTAGGCAATTCAAGGACTAGGCTTCTACTGGCAGATTTAGACATTCCCCCACCAGCTGAAAGTGGTATGTCCATGTTATCCAGTTATGTGAGTTCAAAGACAACTGACTTGAACAATGAAAGCATGAGAACTAAGGTGGAAGAGGTGAACAATGAAAGCATGAGAACTAAGGTGGAAGAGGTGAACAATGAAAGCATGAGAACTAAGGTGGAAGAGGTGAAAAATGAAAGCATGAGAACTAAGGTGGAAGAGGTGAAAAATGTCAATAGACGAAGAGGTGCCTCCAACCCTAACGTGATAAATGTGGCTTTGGATGGCCGGTACAATTGTCTGACCATAGGACACAGCAAGAAAACCGGACAAGGAGCATCCCAATCAATCGGCATTGCTTGTGAGACAAACACAGATAAGAAATATATCATAAGTGCTGTGTTGCAAAATAAACTTTGTTGGACTGGAGCGTGGCTAAGAAACACAGGCATTACTGTCAACTGTCCAGGACACGAGGGATGCACAGCAAATCTGACAAGACATGCACCTTTATCTGAGAGAGAAATGGGGAGAATAATTGGTGAAGATTTATCTATTCAAGGGGTGCTCATCAAGTTTGCCACAACAGACGGAGATTCAACGTCAGCTACCAGAATTGAAGAGGCAATGTGAACTTTACATCCTATGTGGAAAGTTGAAAGACTAGCTGACCCAGCCCATCTTAGTGCATCTCAGTTTCGCCAATGTTTTAAGGCTAATTTTAGCGACGGAATATTCAGAGGCAAAACAAAAGTTGAAAAAACAAATCAAAAGAAAACTTTGAGCCAGGACATAAAATCTAGGTGTAGCCTTGTGATCAAAGAGATGTACTCTACTTACTGTGGAGATGTGGACAAACTGAAAAAACAGCTACCGAAAATACTACAAGCAACTGTTATGTGCTACGATGGAGACTGTTCCAAGTGCCGTTCCAACTCTGTGGTCTGTAGTGGCGGTCACAGCAACAACTGGTGGAATCGATCCATGTTTCTGGCTTCAAACAACTTAACGAGCCTGGAAATGAATGACAATGATAAGTTTCTGTTAAATGAACTTTTAAAAATAAGATTAAGTGAGGAAGCCATTGACAAAACCCGTTATAAGACTGCCCTCAAAAAGG